CCAGAGAAGGGAATGGAGTGTTGCCCCCTCGGAATCTCCTTGCCCTGGGGCCGGGGTCTCCTAGCGACTCTGGCTCCTTCCCGCCCTGAGCCTGGATCTCCTGGTCTGTGAACGGTAGCGCTGGGCGGTCTTCAAGGCCGCTTTCAGCCCTGAGAGGTTCTGCGCCTCCTCAGCCGTGTTCCCAAAGCTTCTATTTCCTACTTGAAGAGAATGGAGAGCGTTCAGATTTTGCTGGAGCATGGATTTGACTCGCAGATACTTGGTGATCCCTTTGCTCCGCTTTGATCCGTTTTAGTAAACACAGTGGAGACATGTTACAATGTAGCTTTGAGTTTCATGGTTCTGTGCAAATGGGGCATCACCGGCCAGATGAAGCGATTTAACCAGGATCGCTTCTTAGGCGCCATAAAAAGTCTTCGTTTAATTTCAAGACAGATTTGCCTGCAAGATGTCACAGGTAGGAAGTCCCACACGGGAACAGCCTGGTGAAATAGAGAGGGGGTGGGGCCGGAGGGATGGCTTTGGTCACGCCACAGTGACATCAGGTGCGCCGGGTACTTAAAGACCTCTTTCCCTCCAGGTGAGCCCTCTGGAGGCAGGTCTGTGACCCTGCTAAGGACGGGCTGGCCGGGAGCTGCAATGCAGGACCCAGCCCTCCCCCTACCAGGCACCATTTGTGACCCGAGCCCACCGTGCGGTGTCTCAGCCATTTCAGAAGGAAACAGATTCCTTGAGATCGAAAATCTAGTTTCCAAGTGTCCCTGCGTCCTCAGAAGGAAATACTTCCCTAGGAGTGCATCCTTCCTGCGTTCTCCATTTTCCACTCTTGAGAAATTACATTTGTCCCTTAATAGATGAAGACGGGTAGGGGGCAGATCTGGCGGATGTGAGGCTGTCCGCCGTCGAGGAAAATGCATGTGCAAAGCAACAGGGCGCTAACTGGTGTGTGGCACGAATACTGTCGTGGCCAGGCAGGGGATTTGCTCAGAAAGTCCTTGGGGCGCCTTGAGAGAGGCGGTCAGTCCCGGGATGCCGTCCCTCCCCCGTCGGCGGCAGGTGCCCCCCGCTGGCGCCTTCACACACACCCTGGGCGACAGTGATGCAAACGGTGTTCCTTGCGTCCCCAGGTAGCTGGGTACAACGGCTCACTCGGATGACCTAAGCTAACGTCCAGACAACCTGTTGACTTGTTTTTGAACTCGTTGCGGTTAAGAGGGGGGTGTCCACCTGCTGGGACTGAATCCAGGCCAGCTGCCCAGATTTAATTCTCGTCGCGAGTTCTGAATGCAATGCCTCCTCTCGTCTCTGTGGTTCTTCATTTAGAGGAAAGAGTGAAATCTTGCGTGAGAGATGTGCAGCCCCTCCAGTGTTAGGAGAGGCAAAAGCGCGAGTCCAAAGGGTCTCGCTTCTAAGTTCGGCCTGTCAGGCGAGGAGGGGGAACAGCGGGGTCCGACAGCTGCGGGACCTGGGGTCTGGTGCCAGCCGCACCTTGGGAGCCTTCCACGGGTGCCACCGTAGGATTGTGCCCCTTTTTGCTCCTGGTCTCGCTGAGGACCAGCCGGAGGGGGCAGTTCTTCCAAGGGTCCCGTGTGGGTGCCATGGGGAGCTCTCCCCAGGGAGGGAAGAAACCCTTTACATGGAAGATGCTGGAGTCTGGTGGTGTCACCTTGGGCAAGGGGCCTTCGGGACCAGGAGAAAGCTCATCCCAGAGACACACAAAAAGGCAACGTTCCCAGGGAGCATGACCGGGAGGTCAGGGACAGGTGGAGTCACCTTCTGTGGTTTGGCTGAGAGGACGGAAAGCCCGGGCCGCCGTGTACTGAGCGTGTTTTCCCTGCTGGTTGTCCCGGACACCGAGCCAGGAGCCGCGGGGGCCCTCTGTTCATCCCCTCGCTCAGCAAACACGGTCACTGGTGCTCCCCACGTGCTTGGTGCTAGTGTCTCAGGCCCTGGGGGCCCAGGGGGAGGGAACCCAGAGGTGGCTTGGCCTCCAGGGCGGCAGGTGATGGGGCGGGGGTTGTATTCATTCTGCAGATGCAGAAGGCCGGGCAGGGGAGGACGGGCGAAGTCTCAGTCCGACACCAGGGAAGAACGCACTGGGAATTTGAGTGGGGGTCTGACCCCAGGTCTTTTTTTTTTTTTTTTTTTTTTTTTTTTTTCGCTTTGCCCTGTTGCCTCCTATTTGTGATGTACAAATACACATGAAAATACTTCCTAAAGCATAAAGTGCAATACTAGAATACTAGCTTAGTGGCTGTTCATTATGGACTTGGCTGCTACCAAACAGAAAGCCGAGACAGGAGGGTGGTCCATGCCTCTACCCTCCCCCCACACCATCGCCCGGCATGGGGTTGTCCCTCCGGCCTTGGAGGCTGAGCTGACTCCTGTCTCGTGGAGAGGTGCCTTCCTCTGCCCCGGCCTGGTCTTAGCTTCCTAAAGCGGCGTACCTGAGAATTAGCTCGAGGGCTGGTGTGTGTGTGTGTGTGTGTGTGTGTGTGTGTGTGCATGCACACGTGCTCCGTCTCCAAATTCTCCGTCATCCTTTATTCCCAGAAGGTGAGAGAACATTCCACTTCATGCCTGCCGTGCAGATGGCCAAGAGCGTAGTCAAATTCCGCTGAGGCTCCCACATCCAATGCCGTGTAAATGTGACCAAGGGTCAAACACAACACCCAAGATGGGGAAGTGCAGAGTGTGTGAATATAAAGTTAGATAACTTTTAAGAAATCAAGACTGCTAATAAAATATTTTACATAAAACGTTTCACTTGTGTTCAGTGTTAAATGCTTCCAGTTCAGAATGATTTGCTTAAATCTTACTAGGTAAAATGGGTTCTTAGGTTGCATTTTGAATACATTTGTTGTGCGTCTAGTAAGATTCTCGCTTTGTTACTTGGCGTTCTGGTCTAACACCCCCGCTGGTAAATTCACCTTCCTCTCCGGACACCATGTTGTGTCTTAAAACTTTGTGCTTTTGCTCTGTTCTCCCAGACCCCCACCCACTTCCTCCTGCCCTGTCAATGTCGGCCACAACCTCAAACAGGGCCGAGCCCCCCAGTGCGCTGTGGCCCGTGTGCCCCTTCCTCTCCAGTCCCCTCCGTCTTGGAGTGAGCTCCGGGGACACAGGCACTGGTGGC